CTGGACCTGTATGTTTGGGGTGACCTACCTGAAAAGTTTACTCTACTCCAATAGATACTAGACCACAACTACTGCAGCGAATAGAAAACCACCATATATTAGCTTGAATTAGTTCCATTAATAGAAGATGTCAGAAATGTATCGATATGGGCTGTTCTCATTTTAAACAATTGCTGTAAATACGTAACGTTAATTTTGTTTCTTGTTTAGTTGTTGTTGCTTGGTAAATGTATTTTTATTATTATTAAATTGTTCTTATTTGTAAAGATAATACCTCCAGGGAAAACTAAAACACCAGGAGCACTACCTCACAAGTGATGTCGAAAGAATTTTGTTGATGTGCTTATACATTGCACTTACTTTTAAGCATAAACATAAATATTTTTGTAATATTATGATCTGAAGTGTGTGCCACAAGGGGATTGTATTTGTATCAATAACTTGAAAATGGTGAACCTTAGAAAAAAAATTCAAGTCACCTTTTTTACGTATTTAGTGCATTAGAATATAAATCCAATACAATAACTTGTAAAAAATTCAGTGGCGTAGATTTTTTTTATAAAAAGGGGGTGACCCTTGTTCAGTTGTACACCACTGGCTAAACCTTTAGAGCTCATATTTTAGGGAATGCAAGGCCTACTATCGTACATTATTTGTACCAAATTTTATTGAGATCGGTTAATAGATTCCTGAGATATAAACAAAAAATAATATTTTTTTAATAACTTCAACACCCTGTATCTCTAAAACGAGGCCGTTCCAGACCTATGTTTATAAGGCAAACTCCTATTATTTTAAAGAGATCTATCTGTCCTCGAAGTTTCCTGCATAAAATTCGGACCACCCTGTATAATTATATACTTATATTTACATATGTACATAAATACATTTACATTGGATATTTCAATTATTCCAAATTGTTCCAAAATGCCAATATCGCTGTTTGTTATTATTGAATAACAAATAAGTAATACCTAAAGCCGAAAATACCGATTGTGGTCTATTATTATGTTTTTGTATTTTTATATAGAGAGATTATTACTAATAAAGAAAATATTATCAATGTAAATTCATGTACCTGTTGGATCTTTCTATATCAATAATTTATTTGCATCTCCTTGAGGAAATTAGCTATTATTGTTAAAGGAATCATATTATTAGAGAAATTAAAATATCTTTTTAGACTGAAGCTAGTTTCTTTTCATCAAGAAACAAGTGGATGTAAAATAGTGAGCCACGTATTCATTTTAATTCCCCAGATCTACTTCAATTACGCTCTGTTAAATACTCAAATTGAGAATATATTATTCCCAATGAACTAATATTCCAAGAAACTCAAGAACTACATTTAAGAAACATCGTTTTTTCAATTTAATGATAGTTTCTTTCCATCAAGAAATAAGTGGATCTAAAATAGTGAGCCACGTATTGATTTTAATTCCAGATCTATTTCAATTAAGCTCTGTTAAATACTCAAACTTAGAATATATTATTCCCAATGAACTAATATTCCAAGAAAATTTTAATTCCAGATCTATTTCAATTAAGCTCTGTTAAATACTCAAACTGAGAATATATTATTCCCAATGAACTAATATTCCAAGAAAATCAAAAACTAAATTGAAGAAACATCGTTTTTTCAATTTAATGATAGTTTCTTTCCTTCAAGAAACAAATGGATCTAAAATAGTGAGCCTCGTATTCATTTTAATTCCCCAGATCTATTTCAATTAAGCTCTGTTAAATACTCAAACTGAGAATATATTATTCCCAATGAACTAATATTCCAAGAAAATCAAGAACTAAATTGAAGAAACATCATTTTCTTAATTTAATGATATTTTCTCCGTTTGATACTATTGTTTATTTAAAAACTTGAGAAAATCTGCATTCTCTCTTTGAATATTTACTTTTTTGTGTGTAGGCTTTCTCATTTTTGTATATTATATATTAATTATATTATATTATACAAATAAAATAAGTAAAAAAATGTATTGTGATTATTTATATACAGCGTAGCAATTTTTTATATGATTGATTATATTTAAAAATCGATTATAATAAAAATATTTTACATTAATATTGGTACTAGATTTGAAAATGGCAAAAGTAAAATATTCTTTCATAAACAATATAAGGGAATTTTTATTTTAAATTATTGCACAATTATAGCATTCCAAGCTTTTAAAAAGTAATTTTTTATCATTTTTGTCAATACAGGGGTGGCTTTTAGGGGTCGAAAGGAGAAAATTATTTTATTATAAATAATTGCACGATTTAATCATTCCCAATCTTTAAAAAGTATTTTTTTTATCATTATTTTTTGCATAGGGGTATTTTTTAAGGGTTAAATAAAGTGTCGGAAAGATCAAATATATCATAAAACATATTCGAGAAGATGGAACATTATTTAATCTTTGTGCTTGAACAAGATTTTTATCAATAAAATACTTAAAACTTAATTTTTTCAATTTTTTTCACATTGAGGTAGTTTTTACCCCAAAAAAAAAACAAAAAGCGTCAATCGGGCTTATGTCACTTTTAAACTTGGGCCTAAGATGAGCCTTATTCTAAATTTTCATGCAAATCCATGTAGTTTCAAAGAATTTGGAGGTTACTTCAATTACTGTACTACTAATAGTTCTTAAACACCAAATATTTCAAGTGCGGCGATAATGAAAAATATGGAAGATTATGGCTGGATCATCTAGGTGGCTATGCAAAGAACCACCACTACCAATCCATCTTAGATATTTGGTATTGATGTAGGCATTATCTAAATAGTGGCAGTTCCTCAATAAGGAAATGCTGGTTTCTTTTTTATTTATGTATGCAAAAATTCTATACAGCATTGATTATTTGCAAGCTACGCAAATATATTATTTCCCTAAAAATAATTTTTTCTGTATACGTAAACATATTGAATTGAATAAAATTGTAGTGGCCCGGTTTTGCGCGGAAAAACTTTTTGTGAAATATTACACGTGATCTCATTTCGTTGAGAAAATGTGTCCTTAACACGCCACTTTTGACATCTCATTTATAGCTTTTACTTCCTGAACAATACGAAAGTCTTACTAAAACTGTTATTTCTCTGCTTAGTTTTCTCACGTCTGATAATTACTCAAATTTGAATAAAATATTAACTACCAAACTTGTTCCTTCAAAATTAGGAAAAAGAGAATGTATTGTCAGATCTTCGTAAGCAACCTATTTGTAAATGTTTTTAAAGTTCTTATTTGTCAGCAAGTTCGAAAAATCAAACCTTAAAATGTAAAGATAAGTTAATTAGTTTATTAAGGCTAACTTCGTGGTAAACTTAGTCCATTGTGACGTTGTACTTGCCCAGTACAAGAATATTAGGTACAGTACTTTCGTTTAAGGTTATGTTGAACACATCGAAGCTTCCGCTTTTGGAAAGTTCAATCATTTCGTTATATTCAACACACATTATGGGATTTTTCTTACCAAATTATGTCAAAATAACAGATTGGCTCTATTCAAAGTACACAGGTAGACAGAGTGTGATTGACCTTCTAACCGAGAATCGGAATCGTAATTCGACCTCACAATTACTTCATCACGTCAGGTTTTCGAGATATCCTAACCTAAAACTTTGGAAAACGCGGTTTTTCTCTATATTTGTGGTTATGTTACATCAAGAGGTAATTTTTCCCCACAAAACACATTTTGGCATCTGAAAACACTGCTTATATTCTTTAAAATCCATTTTCAATTGGTCGAATGTCTGTTTTCCTTTTCATGAAAATGTTTGTTGAAATTGATTAGTTTAGTTTGTTGTCGATATTCGGAAATTGCATAGCATCAAAGACTAGAAAAGAGAGAAGAATCAAGGTAACATCTAAATTGCTACTGGTTCTTCTGGTCTTTGATGTCGCTGATTCTGAAGTCAGTATTACAAAATTCAAAATATTCGATCGAATATAGAAATGGGAAGAAAACTTTAAGAAACAGTGGAAATTTATGTTTTTGTAACTTGATTAATGATTTGATGCTATGTAGGTATTCAATTTTCGAATAAAAACGAATACACCAAACTTAATTTCAACAGACAATATCTCGAAGAGGAAAAAAGATATTCGAACGATTCAAAATAGATTTCCAGAGGGAAGAGTAGTACTTTCAGATGAGCTTTGTAGAGGAGAATTACATCGTAATGTAACCTAACCTCAAAGAAAATGGAAAACCATATTTTTCGCATATTTAGGTTAGGATATTGCGAAAATCTAAAGTGATGAAACAATTCTTAGGTTGAAAGCGGATTCAGAATATCAAAAATTATCGGAAAAGTGTAGCTTAATTTCTGATTTATTATTTTGTCGGCCTGTATAATTATTAATAGGCTACAAGCCCGTCGGAAATATTCAAGGGCGAGTTTGGTCAAGTTATGGCTTGTTTATGCAGTTACATGATATTAAAAAATCCTATAATGTCTGTTATCCCATTTCATGAAAACATAGGACGTTTTTTAGTATTAATTTGAGTTATCAATAATAAATAAAAAAATATTTGTTAAAAATACGATTTTAATCATATTTTCCTTACAACATTTTGAAGTTACAAGAAAAGTAACAAAGTTACTATTTTTCATGCCTTCAAAAAGTGGGATGTAAAATATAGAGAATTACGAGATAGACTAGAGTTATCTAATAACGTCATTGTCCCTGCAATAGTTTTCTTAAAACACGTTCTATTATTAACTTTTATTGAAAATTAAGTAGATTCTTTATAATATTGCGTTGTCCGCCAAAAACAAGAAAATATATTGTTAAGGCCAAAATATACATCTTTTATAACTTTAAATATTCGTTGACGTTTTATATTCAATTTAAATTCATTAAGGCCTTAGCAGTGAGTTGAGTTACTCATTTTTAATCAATAACCTCCAAAGCTAGCATACTAGCGGGGGAGCATGTACTTGATACGTGAATGCATTGTAAATAAACATGTACTTACTTTCCCTTTCTATATCGACTTACCTGATTTGACAGTTTTTCTCAGAGACATATTCTTTGGCGATTCTCTTTCGTCTCTCGGAGCAGCGTTTTTAACGTTTGCTGTTTTGTTTTTACATTTCTCCTTTGTTTCCTCTTTCTCTGTCTCTTCCTCCGCATCGCTTCCAGCCGGACTGACTAAAGACACCATGGTGACGATTTCCGATCCGTTCACGACCGCTGTACGGTTCAGCACTTTTTGACTTTTAGGATTTTCTTTGTTACAAGCGTTTTCTTCGATTTCGTCTCCTCCTATATTGGTTTTTAAATGGACTCTCTTAATAGTTTTTATTTTACGTTTGGTGGCTGAAAACTTTTGTCTGCCCCGTTCTGATTTACTGGGAGCGGAAGATGACCTGATCAGTGGTGGCCTGTTGTGTGGTGATTCGTTAATAGTGTTGTTAAATGCTGAATTTGTCCGTTTTTGGAATTTTTCGCGTTTGGAAGCTGCCGTCACGGGTCTTATTATTATGGAATCTATGGGTTTTAAGTCGTCTTTGCCTAGCTGTTCAGCGCTACCTTGCTTAGGTGTAAGTTGTTCTTTCTCTACCATTGGTACTACGACTACAGTGTCATTTCTTGCAATGTTTGTGTCTACTTCGCTGGATCTTGTTGGAGAGTAAGCGATTTCAGCTAGATTAATTTTGGGTTTGAAGTTTCTACGAATTTGAAACAAATTTTTACTGTTATTACTTACATTTGACATTAACGGTTGAATAAGCTTTGGCCTTTCGTAATTTTTTTCTAGATACTGTTCAGTGTCTCTGTCTTGTTGGCTACTATATATTTCATCGGCTTGCTCTTTGGGGTTGTGCGCTAAGAATATTTTAAGATTAGTTTTCTCCGGTTCTTTCTCTTTGACGTTTTGTTTGAATCTTTCCGTTAGTTCGTGTTTTGAATGCAGAATAGAGTTCTTTTCCAAAGAATTCTGCTTGGACAGTTTGCCGGTAGAACCCCTTCTTACTTCCTTGCATTTTTTTATGATCACCGCGTCCTCTGCTTTTAATTGTGGTGTGTTTTCCTCCCAGGCTATCCTGATTGGAGGAGGACGGTCCAGATTTCGGCTGGTTTTAGTATTCAGCGATATTTTGATTCCTATTCCAGGATCGATCCATTTTTCTTTATAATCCGGTATGTCCTCGGAAAATTGTTTTTTTAAAGTTTTTCTTCGCTGTTCCGGAGTTGGCGAGCAATTTAAAGATAGCTGACGGAACGCTGATAATTTTCTTATATTCGACATTTTTCTGTATACTTTTGTATAAAAATATAAATATATAAAAGGAGTTCACATTTTTAAATAGTAAAGTTTCGGAGTGGCACGAACACGAACAGTAGACCGGCTGTTTACTCTCTGCTCACAAAACTTTGACTGAAACGTGCTCCACATGTTTTCATTTCAGCCGACATTCATTTATTTATCGATTGTAACTTTCGCTGGCTGCAATTTTGATTCATTTTTTGCGTGTCACGGTTGATACTTGTCATAAACTTGAGGCTTTCTCGAAGGTCGATTAATGATCTTGCGATTAAATGTTTTAAATGCAATAAAATATTTATTACAGTTGTTAAAGCTTTCCGAGGTCGATTTTATTGTGTGAAATGAGATTGTTTGGTTGTCATGGTTTCTTTTGAATTTTAACACTATGTTGCGGTACAACATATCAATTTAGTTACTACACCCACTTAGTTCTGCCTTAAAGTGTACTATTTAGGTATAAATATTCTAATTTCTGCACAAAGCTCTGTGGGAGATAAAAATCCCATTCACTATGAGGAAGGCTTAATATTTAGATAATTAAAATACAATAATATGCACGGCTTGTTCTTTACTATTACATTTTATTAACCAACGCATATACAGGGTGTGTCGTGTATAATCTACAAAAATTAAACTACAGCTTCCTGATGATATTTGTAATAGAAAAGTCTTATACGATATCTTTCTATCTTCGCGTTTTTTTTTTGTAAATTAAAGTTCATTTATTCAACGAAAATGAAGGCCGACCCTGTGTTATTTATTAAAAACTTTGGATATGTTTTTATGCGACCCGAGATGCAACCTTATAATTTAAGTCGGTATAAGTAATCTAATACTAGTAATACTAAAAGAAGGTTAGGTTACATTGACTTGAGTGAAGTTAGCCATAAAAGTTATCCATAAAATATAAAAATTCGCAGACCAGATTCTGCACACAAATAGATAATTTTATCAGTTTAGGACAATAAAGGGCACATCTCTAGAACATCCAAAATACAATTCTGTTCAAAAACTACAGGGTGTGCAGATTCTCCGTCCATTATCAAATTGAAATACTCGTAATAAAAGTTGTACAGAAGCATTCGCATCCGG